AACTGGAAAAGAGAACACAGGTGAACAAATTCTTTTCACCTAGACATATCTAGCTCAACAGTACTATACCATGAGAGGTGATATGCTCCAGCGATGAGTCACACTGGGCTGCAGCCTTTTGTAGATGGAGAGGCTCATCATGCTGATGACCGCCAGGTGTTGTTAATCAGCGGCCATCAGCAAGGCAGGCTGCAGGCAGTGGGACCCTTACATAAATATGGCCGGCTTGTTTTATTTTATTTTTTTATTTTATTTTTCATAAACAAATAAACTGCATATAAACTGCTAATCATGTCATTCTTACTCCCTGTATGGAATCGCCCATCTAGATTACAAACTTTAAGAGGAACATTCTTTAAATAATTTCTCTACTTCAGAACATTTAGTTTTATATTTCTTATATATCATTTATCATAAATCAAGATCCACATGTGAATTCGGATTTTAACATGTTGTCTCTGATGTTCTTATACACTGTATGAGCAGAAAGAAGTGGACAAGCGTGAGAGGAAGGCATGAAGCAATCATGAGAGAGAAAAGAAAGAAAAGCAAACTTGATTAATGAAACTTTATGCCCTTTTTCTTTCTCATCTCTTTGCTTGGTGGCAGATGAAATTCCTCTGCCATTGGTTTCATTTCTCACTGTCATTCAAATGGAAAAGGGGGAGAGCCATTGAAAAGCCCAGTTCCTCTGTACCATGAATACAAACATCACATTACTATTCATTAAATATACAGTATTCCCGTCTTATTTATTGTAATATGTTTGGTGCTGAACAGCTGAGCAGAGATGGTATCAGGGTGTGTAATTAGAAAACTGGATGATTCTTTCAGTGTGAAACATCCTGTCAATAGACAAAGTTTGGTGTTAGGTGTCACCCCAACTGTGCATTGATTATTAAACTGGATCTAGTTATTGGACTTTCGTTATAGTGCAGCATCATATGCGGACATGACAGACAATCCATGAACTATGTATCTTTCTCATCTCTACTGAGCATAAAACATGTACCAATCTGCCACACAGATGGAAAATCTATAACCAATCACCAGCAAAAACTTAATTTGGTGTTCTGTTGGAGTAATCCCTGAGGAGAAATGTTTTCATTCAGATTACTGCTTGTTTAGTGAAGAGGTGTTTTGAAAGAGATAGTTTAGACAACATTAAAGTGATGTTCCTTTAAACAGCTATCAATGGTTAATAACTTATCAGTGATGTTCTCAGTCATAGAGCATGGAATATGGAGGAAAGTGCTAAATTATTCATCTAGCTTAGGATATAGACTGACCAAACAAAGTCCAGTTTTTGTCCATCCATCATTTCCTACTTTTTTCGAAGTCGGGTCGCAGGGCCAGCAGCTTGAAGGACGCCCAGACTTCTCTTTCCACCTCTTCCAGCTCTTCTGGGAGGACCCCAAGTCATTCCCACGCCAGCAGAGAGACATACAGTACATGGTTAGGATGCTTTGAGAGAAGTGGAACACTAAATCTGTAGCATCTTAGCTTAGCAGTAACTGTGATGCTGTGAGATGCTGCAAGTGTGACACTGTGAATTAAAGTGCATTAAATATCTTGATGCATGCTCAATAATCCAGGTAGAAAAATCCAAAACAGTTCAATCTGGTCCTCTGGACATTCAAAAAATAACAAAAAACAAAGTAAAAAAATCTAGAAATGTTTCGTCTCTCATCCAAGAGACTTCCTCAGTCTGAGGAGCTTTATTCAGCTCAGTCTCTTAAATAGCACCTTCTCAGAGTGGATCAACCAGTTTTGCTGCTGACAACCAAAACCAGCTGATCACATGCTCAAGAAGGACCATCAGCCTAACAATGGATCATTAGCACACTGATGGCTGTTTACTATTCACAGAGGGCTGAGTGATACTAGCAATCACAGCATTGTAAGACTAACACTTGCTCATTCAAAGACAGAAAATCAGAAAATGCATAATTACTCTGTAACAGAACTTAACATGATTTATACTGTAGTGAACCTGATCTGACCCTGATCTGACCCTGATGACCTCAAATCTATCAGATGGACAGAGACTGTTATTTTCATTGATCTGAATACAGTCTGAGCCATCTGGTGACTTTCTTTCTTGAATTAATCAAGCAGAAAAGACAATTCTCTATAATCATTACTGTTTTACAAATGTTTAATAATCAAATTGTGTTAGTTCCACTCAATGTTACAGGTTGAAAAGAACTACTCATTTTTATTTCACATAAACAGTAAGTAATGATTTTTATTCCTCATTCAAAGAAGAAATCAGGTTAATATGCATTTCTTGATTTTCTGTCTGAAATGAGCTAAGTTTTGTAAGTATGTGAAAGGTCGGTTTTCGGTCAACTAAAATGTTTACCGAGAAAGATGTCATGTTTAAACTTTTTCAGAAGATTACCAAGAGTTGACTCCACGAAGTCTGCTTTTCTGCAATAATCTCTCTGTCAGTTGTTGAACAATCTCATTCTCTGACCTTGGCTTAGATAACATCTTACGTCACAAAAACACACCTCTTTCTGGTTCATCCACGAATCAGAAAGCTCTCAAATGAACCGGAAGTCGACCCATTTAAAATGTGGCAACTTCCCAGTTCATGTTAGAATGGAAGAGAATTCCAGAGGCTGAGGAGATGAAGAACTAGAGAGTTGCTGGAGTTGAAAGATTCTGTTAGAGTCTGAGAAGTTCTGAAGAATGAAAGGAGTTCAGAGGTCTTGGGTGCAAACGCATTCAAGATGATCCAGAGACGTTTTGGGATTATAATTTCTGTTTGAAAACCACACACGACTATCTAAGGATTTCAGCTGCTCTCAACGGAGACGCTGAAAAGTCTGGAGGATTCTCTATCGAGCTGATTTACGTCAACCAGGTAACAGTCTCCTCTTCGATTAAAGTGTACCGGAGGCAAGCTGAGATCTGATGAAGCGTGCACGTTCTGGTCAAACAGATTAATTCCCTCACATATCTCTCTGTAAGATAACTCCATTTCATCTTAAAACTCTCCTCTCTCTCATAAAATCAGTACAGATATTTTAGAAATATCTGAAGCAAAGTCCTCAATTACTACCGAGTGATTGAAGCTCATTATTTGTGAAACTTGTCTGTTATTATTTTCATATTTTGCCAAATTAATGTAAATGTTTGATGTTAAACTTTGATTCTGAAAATAAATGACCGCATTGATTTGATGGGTCAAAGATAATAACGTCTCTCGTTACATTTCTGTTAAATTCAATGCACGACATTACACAGCCAGAAAGATGAGGAACTCGTGAAAAAGTATGCATATATATCTCATATATTGTCATGCTACAACTAGTGGCACGTACCCACGTGACTACTACAAACTGGTGGCCCGTCACGCGCTCATAAATGGACTGTGTACTCGTGTGTAAATTGATTTTACGTGTTGGCATGTATGTTGAAAAGTAACAGTTTGTCAGCTGTGCTGAACCACAGCTGGAGCTGCGCCTTTCAAGCAAACGCTGCATGTTCTAAGCGTTGGGCTAGTAATGTTTTAAAAGCTGAAATTGTGTCATAAGTCTTTATGAAAGCTGAAATTGTACGTCTGTTATGTTAACTAAAAGCTGATGAGCTGTAAAAAACGCTGCATTCTGTTTAAACTGAGGTCCAAACGGACGGGAGTTCGGTTCTGGACGGCTCGGTTCTGGAAAATTCGGACGAGTTGTTTAAATAGCTAGAAAGACGTTTTGTCACGGAGCGCCGTCTCCGTGCAGCTCAGGAAGTTGATTCGTTACATTTTTAACAGAAAAAGTGCATTTTGACAGTTTAAAAGACGAAAAGCTGACGAACTATTTTCAGGCTAAACCTAGCATGCTGGCTGAAAAAGCTTTCCTGATTGGTTGAATATTGCTGGGTGGAGCGCTCTGATTTGCTGAGAAGGTTGACTGGCGTGGCTACGTCATCCCCTCTCAACCCTGCGCTGCTTTGCCATTGGTGATTTCAGTCACGTGACCCGGAAATGAAATTCGTTTTCATAGGGAAATAAAATCTGCTTTTTAAAGCTGAAAAGCGCCTTTAAAGTGATTTTTGATACGCTGGCTAAGTGCTTCGAAGCATATTCGCTGAAATTTTGCCACGTTAGAGTCTAAAATTCGTCATTAAATGATGTTTTTAAACAACGCTAGCGATGCTAATTTTAAGCTAAACAGCTAACGACCGGAGCCTTAGCTACGCTTAAAATCACTAAATAAAGCTGCAATATTGTCCCAAAAACTCATGTTTCAAGCTATAAAGTCTGATTGCAAAAAATTTTGCCACGTTTGTGTAAAAAATCCGTTCAGAAATGTTGATTTTAACCGAGTTTAGCCGAAGCTAACTTCAAGCTAAGCGGCTAACAACAGGATGTCAACCGAACGCCACAGGAAGTTATAGCTCCCCTAGTGGACAACACAAACAGTGTCGGAGTTAAATTTTGTTGAGGTTGTACTGACACCTTCTGGAGAAGACGTGGGATCACAGGTTTCACTTCGTTTTTAGGTAAAGAGTGAAATTAAACGTT